CATGATGAAAGGAGAAAGGATTGCAAGTTGTTAAGGACTTCATATTACTTGGTTCTATAATCAACACCAATGGAAGCAGCAGTCAAGATATTGGATGTCATATGGCACTAGCCAAATCTGCTGCAAAGGACCTCTTTCAAGTGCTAAAGAGCAAAGATGTTTCCTTGAAGACTAAGGTGGGCTTCACATAAGCCATGGTATTTTCAATCACCTCATATGCATATAAGAGCTGGACAATGAAAAAGGAAGACCGAAGAAGAGTCAATGCTTTCGAGTTGTGGTGTTGGTGAAGAATGCTGAAAGTACTGCTAAAAGAACTAACAAATCTGTCCTGGAAAAAATGCAGCTGGAATGCTCCTCGGAAGTGAGAATGGCCAGACTTTGTCTCACCTACTTTGGTCATGTTGTCAGAAGGGACCATTTCCTGGAGAAAGATATCATGCTTGGTAAAGCGGAAGGACAACAAAAAAGGGGAAGGCCCTCAATGAGATGAATTGACACAGTGGCTGCAACGATGGGCTGAAGTATAGCAAAGATCATGGGGCTGGCACAGGATGGGGCAGTGTTCGTTCTGCTACCCATGAGGTCGCTATGCGTAGGAGACGACTCGATGGCCCCTAACAACAACAAGGTAACTTTGATTCTCCAGTGGCATAAAAATAAAAATTAAATAAATTAATAAAATTAATAAATTAATAAAAATAAAAATAAAAATTTTATAAAAATAAAACTGAAAAATAAACAGAGAAACATTTTCTAGGACATTAAGTAAAACTACAATATTTAGGATGTTTCCAAAACATTTACTGAAACACAGTAGTTACCCTTCCCAACTCACGCAGAAGAGGGGAGAGTTTTTGCTTAGGGGGCAGTGAGTTTATGTTAATGCTGGTGGAATGATTTGGGAAAGAATAGCAAGAATAGTTACAAAACATGAAGAATATAATCAATGTCACTGAATTGTACAATTATAAATTGTTGAATTGGTGTATGTTTTATTGTCTCTATTTTCACCACAATGATTTTTATTTTTTTAAAGAAGATCAAAATGACAAGGGTATGGAATGGGTGAATACTTTTAGTTTAAGACTCTCCAAAAGCCCACTGTTCTTTCAAACATGTTTTTTTACTCAACGTTCTATGGACAATGCTCTGAGATTTCACAGAAGAAAGCAGTGAGCTTGTATTTTAGATAACAAAACTGACAGTGGAGTGTTACCTTGCCACAGACTGGACATCCAGAAGGTTCCTTCTTGTACCGGACCAGGTTCTCACTGCTGGCCTCCAGGTCTTCCCTCTTCACCCGCCTCACTCCTAAAATCCCCAGCCCCCCAGCAACAGGAAGTATGTGAGAAACACATCAACACAGATCAATTCTGATTCAGCACAGGGTCAGTTCCAGCTAGATGGGGTAAAGGGATAGATACATAGGAGTGTAAATGACATCATGGCCACACAGATGGGAGTAGGAGCAACTGATCACAGCTCCTGACCAGCTCCCAAATAGCTGGGAACTGACAGGAAAGAAGGGTGCATGACGGCAGACTGCAGGGTTGGTGACCCCGATTTTCCATTAGAAACATCTAGAAGTGTAAAGGCTGTGTATCTTTTAAATTTTACAATGTGAAGAGTTATGATGAGCCACTATTAAGTAGGTATTTTTACTTAGGCTAATGGCTCAAAGCAAAGTCATTCTCTCAGATGGCTGTAAGTAAGTAGATATTTTCATTAGAAGAAAACATATGTTCATACCATGCAAACCGAATGAACAGAATCAGGAACAGAGTGCAAAATCAGCTGATAATAAAATATGTATGATTTTACAGCATGGTGTTCAAAATAGAGATCAAAACAGACTTTAGAAATTCCATATCATAAACAAAATGTGGTACAGATCCACACAATGGAATATTATTCAGCCATAAAGATAACTGAAATCCTGATATATGCTACAACACAGATGAACTTTGAAAACATGATGTTAAGTGAAAAAAAACAAACCCACTGCCGTGGAGTTGATTCTGATAGTGACCCTAAAGTACAGAGCAGAAGTGCCCCATAGTGTTTTCAATGCTGTAAATCTTTAAGGAAGCAGACTGCCACAGCTTTCACCCACAGAGCGGGTGGGTTCAAACTGCTGACCTTTTGGTTAACAGTCAAGCAATTTAACCACTGTGTCACCAGGACTCCCTGGGTGAAATAAGTCAGACCCAAAAGGACACATAGTCTAAGATCCTCCTTTGATGAAATATCTAGAACAGGCAAGTGCATACAGACCAAAGTATATTAGTGGTCACCAGGGGCTAAAGGTTAAAGAGCTATGGTACTAACCAAAGGTCAGTGGTTCTAACTCACCAGCTTCTCTGTGGGAAAAAGATGTAGGAGGAAGATATGGAAGCCTGCTTTTGCAAAGATTACAGCCTTGGAAAACATATGAGGCAGTTCTACTTTGTCCTATATGGTTACTATAAACTGGAATTGACTCCACGACAGTAGTTAGCTTCTTTCTTTCTTTTTTTTTCCTTCAACCAGGAGCTGAGGAAAGGATACTTATTGCTTAAGTGTATTGAGTTTCTGTTTGGGATGATGAAAGATTTTTGAAAATGGATGGTAATACAACATGGTAAATATAATTAATGTCAATGCAGTTAAATGGTACACATTTGTTATGTGTATTTTATCACAATGAAATTAAAAACACAAGCACACAAAAAAACGGTTTGCATGTAACAAGTAATCTCTGAACAAAAAAGAGGGAAATGCCCATCTCAGGTCAGTTTCTGGAACACCCCTGGGTCATGTGACATTATTGCCACTTTAACATGGGCATATACTGGCCAACAAATGGACATGAGACACACACAACATTCCCCAGAAGAGGCCCAGTGGCCCCGAGGCTCATCCCTTACAAGTCTGAGGAAGTAACTTAGACTACGCTCTGGGAAGAAAAAACTCATGAAACAAGCACATCACTAGTGTATTCCCACAGACAATGATCTGAGTTACAAGTGAGCTGTAAAATGTCATTGAATGTAACTGTAAAATTGGCCCAGCTATTGATCAACAGGGAAACAAGAACTTCTGCAGCAACAACCATGGCTGATACCTATCAAGCACCTGCTGTGAGCAGTACCCTGCTCAGAGCTTTATAAGCAGGTCTGAGTTCCCATGATACCAACCCAATGGGGTCAGGGACTGTTACTATCCTCAGAGGTGGTAACTTGCCCAAGGCTACTGCGGGTTTTACAATTAAGTCTACCCAAAGAATCTGGTCTTTATTCTTGGTTCCTGGGAGGTAATTGCTAACCTTTTGGAATTTCCCTAGTGCTGGAGCCTTTGTTAAGGAGCTCTGGTAACTTGATGCCTAAGGCATTTGACTGCTAACCAGAAGGGTGGCAGTTCAAACCCACCAGCCACTCTGAGGAAGGAGGATGGGGCAATCTACTTCCATAAAGATTTATTGCTTCGGAAACTCAAAGGGGGTCACTATGAATCAGAATTGGCTGGACTGCAATGAGTTTTGTTTTTTGTTTTCTGGGGTTTTTTTTGGAGCCTCTGTTATCACTGAGGGCTTCAGACCACACCTGAGGATTTATGCTAATGAGGCAACTCTTGAGTGGAGACCAGCCAGGCCAGAAAGACCCACCACCTGATATCAGCTAACATCAGGGTCAGTTCAATCAATCATATCTATATAAGGAAACCTCTATAAAAACAGTGAACACAGAAGGTCCTTGGCCTTCCTAGTTGCTGCAAGACATAAGTGAATATAGAAGGATAATGCATCTCTTTTTGGGACATGGAAGCTCCACACTGAGAACACTCCCAGGCCTTGCCCTATACATCTCTTCATTTGTATCCTTTTTGCTATAATAAAACTATAATCCTCAGTTTAGCAATTTCCTGAGTTCTGAGTGTCATTCTTGTATTATTGAACCTGAGGGAGTAGTGGGAGCCAGAAGGTCAAAAGGGAAGGTGTTGTGGGGATTTCCGAGCCGGCAGCTGGTGTCTGACTTGGCATCTGGAGGACTATGTCCTTTTAACTTATGAACTTGACCTAGCTCTCATGGTTAGGGTGAGAGCAGGAAGTCCTGCACAGGCAGCTGGTGTCAAAAAGATTTAGATTTAGAGTGTGTTGGTATGTGTCAGAGAAGGCAGCCACACACAGAGGTACCCCAACAGAGATACCCAGTCACTCTGTGAAGATTCAGTTTGACTCAAGATAGTTCTACACAAGAGGCCCTATGTACATTATGTGGAGGATCACAAAGGAAAAAGCTGTGGATCTTTATGTAACTATATGAAGGATGGCCAAGTAAAAAAAGCAAAGTGCAAATATGCTATGATTCTAGTCTTGTTTTTTAAAAAAGTAAAATGATAGGCCTACATGCATACTTGTATAGATACAAAAATATATACTGCCCACAGTAGCCTTGGGCAGGTTACCACCTCTGAGGATAGTAACAGTCCCGGACCCCATTGGGTTGGTGTGATGGGAACTCAGATCTGCTTACAAAGTTCTGAGCAGGATGCTGCTCTCAGCAGGTGCTTGATGGGTATAAGCCATGGTTGTTGCTGCAGAAGTTCTTGTTTCCCTGTTGATCAATAGCTGGGCCAATTTTACAGTTATATTCAATGACATTTTACAGCTCACTTGTAACTCAGATCATTGTCTGTGGGAGTATGGATATAAAAACCAAACCAAACCCACTGCCATCAACTTGATTCTGACTCAAACAGATCCTTAAAGGCAGAGTAGAACTGCCCCATAGCATTTCTAAGGCAGTAATATTCACAGAAGCAGACTGCCTCATCATTTTCTCATGGAGTGGCTGGTAGATTTGAACCACCGACCTTGTGGTTAGCAGCCAAATGCTTTAACTGCTACACCACCACAGCTCTTCTGTACGTATATTGTTGTTGTTGTTGTTGTTGTTTGCCATCGAGTCGGCCCCGACTCATAGCGACCCCTCCTTGGGTTTCCGAGGCAGTATCACTACGGAAGTAGGTTGCCCCACCTTCCTTCCGAGGAGTGGCTGGTGGGTTTGAACTGCCAGCCTTCTGGTTAGCAGTCAAGTGCCTTAGCCACTATGCTACCAGAGCTCCTATATAGTTATACTTTATACACGACTTTCTTATTTGGCACTGTTTTTCAACAAACATATACTTCATTTGCAATTCATTTAAAAATGGCTTTTATTCTCAAACTTTTATAAAAAATGCTTTGGTCAGTTAGTGTGCCAATTACTAAGTGCTGGTCAGCAACAGGACAGTGGCTTTTAGAGCAAAAAAAGGATGACTGAAATAAAAATGTTAACTTTAAAGAGGTTGTAATGGTCAATTTTATGTATCAACTTGGCTGGGCTGTGGTGCCCAGTGGTTTGGCCAAACACAAGTCTAGTTCCTGTTATGAAGTAGTTATGTGTGATGAAATCAGTTGGCATTAAGTAAAGCAAATTACTCTCCAAAATGCGGGCGGGCCACATCTAATTAGTTAAAGATTAATAAGAGTAAAAAGGGAGTTAGTTCCCCTCGGGTGTGTACTGCCTCCAGACTCTAAATGGACATTGTGTTGTAACTCCCTCACTCTTTACCCTTGGTGCCTGGCTTAGGAATTTTGGGACACAAGCCTGTAGGTGTCACCAGCTTGTTGCCTGACTCATGGATCTTGGACTTGCCAGTCCTCACTACTGCATAAGCCAATTCCTTCAAATAAATTAATACCCTTCCCTCTCTCTAAACACATTTACCACTGAGATATATTTAAAAAAAAAAAAACAAAAACAAAAAACCTCACTGCTGTGGGTTTGAACTACCAGCCTTCTGATCAGCAGTCAAATACCTTAGGCATTATGGCATATGGACAGATTTCATGAACCAATTCCTTTAAGTAAATCATTTAATGGGAGCTCTGGTAGCATAGTGCCTAAGGCACTTGACTGCTAACCAGAAGGCTGGCGGTTCAAACCCACCAGCCACTCCCCGGAAGGAAGGTTGGGCAATCCTACTTCCGTAGTGATACTGCCTCGGAAACCCAAGGAGGGGTCGCTATGAGTCGGGGCCGACTCGACGGCACATAACAACAACTATATATATATATGTATACATATATATATACACACATATATATATACACACACACATCTCCATAAATTAATCTCTCTATAAAGATGCTGTAGTTGTTGTTGTTAGGTGTCACTGAGTCAGCTCTGACTCAGCGATCTCATATACAAGAGAATAAAATACTGCCAGGTCCTACACCAGCCTCACATTCCTTGCTATACCTGAGCCCATCGTTGCAATCACTGTGTAAC